TTTCAGTCCGCAGACAAACACTCTACCACTGAGCCAAACCGGTTTCGGCTAATAGTCAACTCTTATGGGCACCAAAGACCTCCATCCCAGCCTGGGCTCTAACTTGGGTGGGCAAATAGGACCCCTGCTTTCCTGAAGGAGCCCACTCTAGCCAGAGCCCTTGGCTTCCCATTCTGTGAGACACTGAGTCATTTCCTCTCTCCAGCTCTTACCTTTGAGCCTTCCTTTTCCCTTCTCTGGAGAAGTGACTCACTGCTGAAGTGTTGGGTGACAATGAATATCAAGGATGGGCGATAAAAATACTCCCGATTGTGCAACTTGAGGATGAGGGGATGTATTTTGGATGGGGAATTCAATGGGCTGGCCATGAACTCGAGGCTGGGGAGTCAACAATGAGTATGGCTTCATCTCTTCGGGGAAGCGGAGCAGAGAATGGAGTTCAAACAAATTCACTGAGCCGGATTTGCTGTGGAGCACCTAGTTTTACCCTTTCAAACATGTATTTCTGAGAAAGGCAAATAAAGCCAGGCACTCGGCACGACACATGTACATCACAGAGGCCAGGTCTGTTCTCCTCAGCTCTGCGGGGCCTGGCAAAGACCCTGAGAACAGGCCTGTTTCTTTCTGGGTTTTTCTCTCCAGTGAAAAACTATACTTCCCGAGCCTGGGAGGGATGAGGGAAGACAATGTGACAGATGCAGGCTCCTGGCTGGCCACTGCATTGACGCCACAGACCCCTTAGAACAGGGTTACTGAAGACAACCCTGTGTGTGAGCAGCAATAGCAACAGTCCAGATGTTTTCCCAGATGGAAACTCACCTTCTTTCACCCGGCTCATTGGAAGCAAACTAGATATTTTCTCCTAATTATCATTCATGGCTTTGAGGATGAGCAAAACAAAACACATTTTTTTCCTAAAGGATGACTCCCTAGTCAGGTCACAAGCTATTCAAGATTCGGGAAGAGAGGCAGCAAAGTCACCCCACCCAGGAGGCCAAACAAATGGGAGCAGAAATACCCATAAAAGTGGAGAGAAATTTATGTGTGGGTATGTGTGTCCGTGCTGGAGGGAGGCTGCAGCTGAGAATGTCACAACAGAATTCGAAACTTTAATTCTCTGGGAAATTAAGGAAAAAAACAAAAACCCCACACCTTAAAAACTATTTGTGCAAGTCCAGAAAACCAAGAAACTTGGATTAGCAAGGAAGGTTAGTTTGATTTTTAAAGGTGCCTCAACTACAAAGAGTTTTTCTCACAGTCAGGAACCTGTGTACACACACACCTGAGTCCCTCTCTGGAAGGATATTGACCCAAAGGCTCCCGAGAGGTCCCCCCACCTCAGTGAGTCACTGGCAGAGGGAGGGGAGGGCCTGGGACACTGCTGCAGGTTCCCAGCATCAGAGTAAGTTAATAGAAACGCATATGATGCACTCCCCACATGATGCACCGGACACTCACATCCTCCGACACACTCACTGTAGGAGGCTCGAGCTGAGGCCAGACTCGCAGAACTGCATGTTTAACGGCAGCCTCAGACAGGGAAGACACCCAGTGACTTTCCCCCCAGGTCTGTACAAGTATCGGCAGGCGCCGTCTCTAAGCCAGGCTCTCCTGAGTGGCACAAAGGAACTATTTCTCATGCTTCCTAAACTCACTCGGGCAGGCAGTGGGAAGGAAGGTGCCAGCCAAGCCCAAGGAGGCTTTTCTCAACTGATCATCTTGGGGAAAGCCAGATATAAATTTCACGGCTGGAATGCAAGGGTTGTGAAATGCTGGAAGGAGCCCCAAAGAGGGCTAAGGACTCTCCTTTCCGGGAAGGCGGTGGGCGGAGGGAGGGCTGGCAAGGGCTAGTGGGAGAGGAGCAGGTTGCCCAGAGGGGCCTGCCTTTCTGGGAAGCAGGAAGTAAGGCCTCAAGGAAGAAAGAAAGAAATCTCTAACCTCTGAGGTGGTGGAGGGGCCACAGATAGGGTTGGTTTTGTTTCTGAGCATGAAGAAAAGGCTCTGTGTCAAAAAGTAGCTCGAATAAATGAGCCAATTATGACATAGACACAGCTCGCTATTTCTGGGATTTGGAAGCAGGAGCCTGACGGAATGTCCTCTCTAGGGTTAAATATGCAGAGTAAGCTTCTAACTCCAGGATTTAGCCTTGCCCTTGATGTTACGTGAAAGATTGCTATTTGTGCTCCAACTAGTTAGGTAAGAGCCATCAGTGAGGGTTACCACATCAGAGACAGTCTTATGTGTCCCTCACAGGATCCCCAATCATAGGATGAGAAAGATCACACTGTATGAATGGCTAAGCCTGCCATAAGCTCCACCCTTTTGTAACCGTGAGCAAGTTGTTCATTAGCCACTCTGTACCTCAGTTTCCTCATCTATAAGATTATCTATTTCATAGAGTGACTATGAGGATGAGCTAAATTCAGATGCCATAAAGCACTTGGAACAGCACTTGGCACATCTTAGTTGCTATTGAGGCATAAAAAGAGCAAGTACCTGATTCCCCAGGTAGGCCAGGGCCCAGCTGCCAATGTCCGGGCTCCATCAGCTCCTCTGAACTGCAGCTCCCGCAGGCCTCATTCAGACCCAGGAAGCCCATGCATCTGAATGCCCAGCCCAGAGAGCCTGACTAAAGGAAAATCAGACGTGTAGACACAATAAGGTCCGTGCTGGTTGCTCCCCGCCTCCTCCCAGGGAGGAGCAAACGCTGGTGCCAACATATTTGGGGTCGGCTTTCTCAGTTGCAAACCATGTGGTTTATCTGAAACGGGGTCAAGTCCCAAAGTGGGAAGCACAATATTACAACTGTGCTTGCTTATCTGAACCAAGTCCATCATCATTGATCATGAGATAATAGGAAGCCAGAGTCCTGAGAGACTGAGGCGTGTGTTGGAAAATATTCTTGGCAAAGGAGGAGGAACCATTTCTCAACCAATTGTTAACAAATTAGTAACCGGCACTGAGAATCTCAGAGGAAAGGTTCCGATTCCCTCCAAACTGCAGATTCTGGCACTTGGGAGACATCACTGCGTACCTGAGGGGCAAAAAAGGGAGATACCAGAGGGCCAGCACCTCTGGTCATCTCTCTGCCGCTCAGCCAACTCAGGTCAAGGGGTGGAGGCTTCAGCCTCTGTCTTGTGTCTACAGACAGCCCTCAGACCAGATCTGATGCCCACTGCCCAGTCTGAAGGAGCGGTGTGTGTGCATCCAGAAACCCAAAGACTTGTGCTTCCTTGCAATGTCTGGGGGACATACTGGCCAGAAGTATACCCAAGACAGGAAGTGAGACCTCAGACCTGTATCAGCTATACAAGAGGACAAGTGGGGTGTCTCCACAGGGAGTCCCTGCCCTTCTGCCTAGAAAGCTGAACCTTCCAGAGCTGGAAGGGTCACCTGGGCTAAGACTGTCTGCAAAGTATAGGCAATCTGTTTCAGCCTTTAAGCCTTAAAGTACCTCCAGGCCTATCACCAGGGCTTGGGGGCCTAGAAGCCAAGCTCAGGGCACAAGGAGTGTGGCCTAGGACAGGGTCCAGATTCACAGGTGGAGAGACTCCAGATGCCACACAACCCAGCCTGGCCATCTGCTGCTGCCAAGGGAAGATGACGGTGCCTCCAGCCAGCTACTTCAGGGTTGAAAACTGCTCTGAGGCGGCAGTGGAGGCTTCTCCTGGCACTTGCCAAACAGCTCAGTTCTCAAGGCTTCTGCATGGTGAGCCCTCTTGGGCAGGCCTGCCCCCAGAGCAACTCTCTCTGCTCCATAATCTGCTCCCAGCAGGTAGCACTAACCTTAACTAGCTCGGCCTCCCTGTTCCATCCCTGTCAGCTCCTTCCCTACTTGTTACAATTCCAGGTTGCCTTCAGGGTCCGTAGCTCATGTTCTTCCTCCTCTGAGAAGCCCGCCCCCCTAACTACTCCTGATGATGCTGACTTGTCTTTTTTGCGGTGTATTAAACCACCACCACTCCTGGGGCTTGTGGATGAGCATCTGGAGCTAGAATAGAAAGAAGTAGGTATTTCTAAAAAATTGCAAGGATAGCCAGACTCACACCAATTAGTCAGTCAGTTAGTTAATTAATTAATTAACTTCTTCGTGTGACCCTAAAAGAACCGTCAGCCCAGATGGACCCCTGGGTCTTGAGCCTGCCACATAGCAAGTGTGTAATAAAGACTTTTTAGAAGAAGGACAGATTACACTGGTCTTGCAGAAGTGAGCTGCTTCCTTTTTAGTTCAGAGCACAGCAACTTCCTCCCTGGCAGGCCAGGTTCCTGCTCTGGCCTGCCAGCTCCCAGGTATCCCCTGCCAGCAGCTATTCCCTAGAGCTGCCCTAGGACTAAGAGCAGAGGGGGGTGCCCAGCTCCAGCCTTACCCACCATTTGTCCCCTCTCAGAGGAAAAGAGGTCAGCAGGAAACGGATCTGACCTTGGGGTGGCCACAGTCTCTCCCAAGGGCTCTGGAGGCCCCTGGACAGGCAGCAGGGGCCTGCAAGGCACTTCCCTGCCCTGCCCTGGGCCCCATGGAAGGGAGGCAGGAAGAAGGGCCTCAGTAGCAGGCGTCCCGTATGGGGCTGGCCAGACAGGGAGGCCCCTGGGGTTGCAGCTATCAGCCGGAGACCAGGCTCCAGGAAGGAAGGAAGGGCAACTCTGGTCGAGGCCGAGATAAGGGGGAGCTGTGCTCAGCACAATGGGCTCCCACAAGGCTGGGAGGCCCCAACTCAGATTTTGCCCCAATTTGGCCTCCTGTCTGCTCACACAGCCCATATAAATATTTACTAATGTTTATAATCCTGCTCCGCTGGTCCCCTCTGAGGCCCTTTCCTATCTATGACCCACAGATCAGTATTCCCCAGACCCTGGGCCCGTCCAGCAAGGGCTATCAGCATTGTTCTCTTTCATGCAAGCCACAGAAACAGGCCGTTCAGGACAAAACTGTCCCCTTGTCCCAGCCCTGGGGCATCGCTAACAGGTCCCAGTACTAAGCCCCTCTGTGATAGGGAACTTACGGGGCCCGGTCATGGGTGAGGCCATTCTGCCGCTGAGTGTTGATTGGTGGAAGGACAGGTTTGCTGTTGATCTCAAGTCCTCTCCTCAGGGTCTCCCGGATCTGCTCCGTGTCTGCAACAACACCACTAAGTTGTCTGGTGGTTCATTAGACTCCCACATCCCCCAACCGGCCCTAGAAACCCAGTTCTGTAGATATCCTGGGGAAAGGCCCCCATGAAGGCCACCTGAGCCTGCTCTAGGCATCAGCTGTGCGATCTGAGTGGGTGCAGAGTGAGGACACAGGGCTGATAAAGCATTATGTTCTCAAAAAACTTTTGGTCTGAAGAAGCCATTCTTTTTTAATATATTTTACTGATTTTTTTACAGAGAGGAAGAGAGAGGGATAGAGTTAGAAACATCGATGAGAGGGAAATATCGATCAGCTGCCTCCTGCACACCCCCGTCTGGGGATGGCCCACAACCAAGGTATATGACCTTGACTGGAATTGAACCTTGGACCCTTCAGTCCGCAGGCCGACGCTCTATCCACTGAGCCAAACTGGTTTTGGCTGTATACGTTCTCTTGAAACCTCCCATGGGTTTGGCACACCATTAGAACTGAGTCGGATATTTGTGTTAGGGTTTTAAATTGTCCTTTATGGGAAGAAAACCTTTCGTAAGTGCTATCACATATGTAGGCATTTTATTCTTCAAAAAATGAAAAAAAGTGGAGAAATAGAAAAAAGAAGCAGAAAAAGAAGCTATATATTTGTAAATGGCTGCTTTTCTTTTGGAGTTAGTTCTGGATGCTCCTTACTAAATACCACAATTATTTCTATAGTCAAGACCAACATGATGAGCGTCTAACGAGAGAGCCATATCCTCCTCCTCCATAGCCTCACCTGGAATGTAGTGGGCACAGGGTTCCCTGTCCACAGCCCCTCGCACTGTATCTGCAGAACAGTGGAGCAGGGAAATTTGCAAGCTGGCCTCACACTCGGGCCTCTCTTGTCTAAGGCCGGAGGCCAGAGTGACCCTCGATCTGGCATGGCTTTCAGGCCAGAGCTGGGCCCTGAGTCAATTCCATGGGTGACCGATGCTTGTTCTCTTGTACTTGGGTGGACTGTGGCCTTTTCCTGTAACTGTTCTATGGCTTCCACTCACCTCCCTGACCTCAGATTGCAAGGGATAAATCTAAAACACAATGGTCACTGCTGGTGGTACATTTGAAATACACACAAAGGGAACAGGAGAAATGGGTCAGCAACGCCCCCTTAATTCCACTGCTGGAAGACTTCGTATGCTGTTTAAGACCTGCCAGGAAAAAACTATTGAGTGAGCTGTTTATGTCAGAGACCCATCCAAAAGAGCCTGAAAGCCAGGCTTGGGGAAAGAGGAGGAGAAAGGCCGGTGAGAACCTACCTTTGCCAGAGAGCCGCCGGGGCTGTGTGCCTATGCAGATGCTCCGGCTGTCTTCGTCATCCTCAGGGGGCCGGCTCAAGTCATCCCAGGCACACTTGGCACTGACACCGCTTAGATTGGAGCCGTCCGTCTCGATGCCTTTGTCAACTCTCTCCTGCTTAGAAAGAACCAAAGAGCCAGAGTTCCTTCAGCGAACCGGTGGCCCAAGGTCAACACCACCTCTCCGGTGTTTACTGAGCCCTTGTAGGTGCTGAGCATGGGACAAGTGCTAGAAGAGCAGGACCCCTGGTTATGAACACACAGGCATCTCTGCCAGCCAAGCCCTCCTCCAGGAGAACCAGGGATTGGGGGAAGCCAGGAAGAAGAGAAATCCCAAGAGAAGCTTCTCTTCTATCATCAATCTTCAGTAAAAAACCCTTCACACCTGTTTCAATGCCTCAGCTCTGCTCAACCATGCAGCCTGTGTGGCTAATGTGGCAGAACCAGGAACTATTTCCCTGAGGAAAAGCAGTCCTTCCTCTCCTCCCATCACCCAGGAAGAACCTCCTCAGTTGCTACTACAGAGAACAGGATGGAAGCTGGCACAGGTGGGAGAGGCCAGGACTCAGATCAACTTCTCCCTGGCTCCACATCAGCAGTTTCCTCTTCTAACAGCAGGGGGTGTCGTCACAGTGAAGCACCACCACAGAGCAGAAGGGCGGGACTTCCTGCACTGCTAACTTGTTCGACAAAAGACTTTGCATGACATTTCTTTTCCGTTTCTTGGAATGAAATGGGTGCCTGGAAGTCAGTGACCATCTGCAGACCTCACCTGAGGCCCTTCTTTCGTGCAGGCCTTGGCACTGTTGAGTCCAAACACCCTCCAAATGGCCTTGCCAAATGGCCTTGAGGAAGAGTCATGCCCAAACACCCCACCCCTGGGGTTTCTGGTAAAACATCGCTCTGTGATGTTGGGCTTTGGATTAAAGGTCATCTGGAAGGCTCTAATAATCTTGCTCATAAACAACCATGTGGGCCAAACAAAGCTCCTGAGTGAGCACCTCAGTAAGAGTCCGCACGCCCTTCTCCCCAGGCCTCACAGGCACCATCTGGCTGCTGCTGAGCCAGGAGGCCTCTCTGGGGAAGCACAAGGTAAGCTTACATACTAGTAAGGTCCTTTTTCTTGAGACCAGGCCTGGCTCTGTATGCCTCCCTCTCATCAATCACACTCTCCTCCTTTCCAGTGCTAGCACCCCATGGACAAAGTTGGGCTTCTGAGCAGAGACAGGGACAGGCTGATGAAGGGAGCAGCTCTGCTCCAGGCAGGAGCATGTGGGGCCCAGTTTGCTCAGGGTAGAGTCTGACTTTTCCCCTCTTTCTAGCGGCCACCCTAAAGCCCCTTATTGAAGCAAAAAGCTAAGAATATCTCTTGGCTCAACTATCTAAGACCACTTACTTTATAAGTAAAAAAGAGTTAGTACCTAGAGAAGTTAAGGGACTTGTTTAGGCACACAGCTACCCCATGGTAGAGCTTGGAGCAAAGGAACAGGAGCCAACTCTAAAATGAACCACTTGCAAGCAGGCCCAACTGGCACACATGAGCACAAAGGAGTTCCCACTTGGCACAGAGCCACCAGGAAAAAAAGCTGGACTTTCTCATCAAGGGCTGCCTGCTTACTTTTATTATTATTATTATTATTCACCACCTGAGGATATTTTTCCATTGATTCTAGAGAGAGGGAAAGACAGAGAGAAATATCAATGTGAGAAAAGCACATTGATTAGTTGCCTTCTGCATGAGTCCTGACTAAGGGCCCATGCCGGGAAGGAGTCTGCAACCGAGGTACATGCCCTTGACCGAGTCAAACCAGGGACCTTCAGTCCGCAGGCCGATGCTCTGTCCACTGAGCCAAACCGCCTAGGGCTGCCTGCTTACTTTTAAAGACCTCTAGGGCCTTGCCAGTGTGGCTCAGTGTTGAGAATTGACCTGTGAACCAGAAGAGTCATTGTTTGATTCCTAGTCAGGATATATGCCCAAGTTGTGGGCTCCATCCCCCATTTGGTGCATGCAGGAGGCAGCCGATCAATGATTTTCTCATCACTGATGTTTCTTTCTCTCTCTTCCTTTCCCTTCCTCTCTAAATCAATAAAAATATATTTAAAAACAACCTCTTAGGTACTCTTGGTCCTGTTAGTTGGTTGAGGGGGGAGCCTAAAGATTAGGAAGAGAACTATTCTTGGCATGCAGGAAATGATAGGTTGCTTACCCTATTAGCTCAAAGGACTGGTTCTTTCTCAATCCTTGGCACTTGTGATAGGGATAAAACAACAGCCCACAGTGTTCCACCATGCTGAATCCAGTGTGGCTATAGTACAAGGGTTTAGGGAAATATACCCTTGGTGGTTCCTTGTTCTTGCATAAGCGGAAGTTACAATGAAACCGAGTTTAAAGTACAGATTACAGAGGATCCTGGCAGCAATTTGAAAACTTCAGTGTTAAAGGCACTAGGAAAATAGAGGAGCATCATCTGTGAATGAGCGGGGTTTCTACCCAAGAACTCACAGGTCTGCAGTAAAGAACGCAAAGGGGCTGCTGGCTATGTGTCCACCTCTTCCCTGCCTCCTCTTATCCCGCCTACAGGACATGTATAGTAACTCCTGACAGCTGCCTGTGTCCTACAAGATTTTCACAGAAGCAATGACCTGCAACTGGCTGGGAGAAAGTAGAGGCAGACACATGCCAGGCACATTATAGCTACCTGCTGCTCCTGCATCATAAGCAACCAGTAAGAAAGGAAGTTATGCTCTATGTGGCTTCCAAAATTCACCTGCCTGCAAAAAAGAGTGTTTCTTCTAAAAAATCAAAGATGACATTGAAACTCTACAGCCAGGCCACATGAGTGGGCAACTGCAGGCCTGTGTGTATAAAGACTTCCTTTACACATCAAGAAATTCCAGCCTTCCCAGGGAAGGAGCTTGGTATCTGACTGGTCAAGATGAAAATGTATCTAGAAAGGGAATAAGATCGTTAGACCAATCAGAACTCCCCACTGCATCACCTATTCTGTCTGTTATAGGATTTGGTGACAGTGGTGGGATGGCTCCCAGAAAGAAAGTTTGTGTTCTTTTTAGAAGGGGGATGTGGGAGGGTGAATACTGGGTAAGCTATATCCACTATTATTTAGTTGCTAGCGATCATATTTTTGAACGTCAGGTTTATTGATATGTGATTTGCATACAATAAAAGAATCCTTTTAAAACTCAAAAATACATGCGTCTGAGACCAGTTTTCCTGGTCTGAAATCTCTGCTCCCTTATGCACTCTGCAGAATTCAGAGGACAAGTTCCAAATTGTGCCTTATGTCATTCACTCGCAAATAAAGCTCCTTGTTTTCCCAGGATGAAAGCCAGTGTTATTTGGAAGAGGCCTAGGCACAGTGTGCTAAAAAGGTTTTCCTCACTCAAGACATACTTGCAGGTGTGGATCGATCTCAAATATGGTCTCTCCCCTCCGCATGTCAGTCATCAGCCAGGGGCCGCCAGCGCTGTGGATAAAGAAGGGGGCAGGAGGGTCTGGGCTGGGCCTACAGCTGCCCTGCTTGCTGCCCCAGGCCCAGAACACTCGTGGTTAGTGGTCGGGGCCATCAGGGAGTGAGTTGTCAGGAAGCCCTGATGTGAAAAGCCAGTGACTGAACAGCAATGTAAGGGGAAGCCCACATGTGGGGGAAGAAGGGGGTCCCACCCCCAGGCCTGGGAAGCCAGGCACCCACCTCATAGGGGGGGGAGGTACTCACATGGGCACCATCCGCAGCAGCTCCAGGATACCCTGCCCATTCCACTGCTGGGCTGCATGGAGCTCCTCAGTGCAGACACCAACGATCTGAGGCCCAGGGACAAGATGCCATGGTGCGTTAATGGCTAATCCTCCCACCAATCCCGGTCAGCCACCCAGACGCTGTCACTTCAAGTGATGGGGCTACAGGCTAGTGCACCTGAAATGGGATGGTTCCCTTAGGAGCAAATAGTTGCCTGGCCAGGATATGGATGGGTCCACAGATGTAGCACTAATGGATAGGTCAGGTTTTTGGTGACACAAAGGTAAGTCCTTGACTGCAGAGAAAATCAGGGTCCTGCCTACTCAGGATGTCCCTAGAAGTAGTGGAGGCCCTGGGATCATGGGGAATGTTCCTGCCCAATCTGGGATCATGGGGAATATAAATAGATTTTGAAACTCTTCAAACTGGAAACAATAACCAAAGGGCCCAGCAGATGGCAGAAGAGCTCCCTTCCTCATCAGGAGCTAAGCCTTTGATAAATCTCAAGAGAAACAACCGAGTCTTCACGCAGACCCATCAGGATCACAAAGAGCCCTCTGCAGCCGGGATGGATGCATACCCCAATGCTGGGAGTTACTGTGCCTCTGGCTGCCTGGGTCTTAACTATGATAGTTTACAGAAATACCCTCCCTGTTACCCATCTGCCTCTGCTACCCAAATGGTCCCTTTCCTTTCCCCCTTCTTCCCTCTCAGCAGGGTAAATCAGACCATCTGAATAGACATGATAAACAGATGGAGGAAAAAATGGGAAAAGAACAAGGAAATCTCCCGTTCCTTTCACTCCCCCAACCCAAGCCCTCCTGCCCTCCCAAGACATTTCCTACAGGGAAGGCTCTTGCCCATGTCCAACCTGTGCCTCACCTGGAGGAAGGTAACTACCCCAAAGGGTGTCTGCACAGGTTGCATCTGCGGGTCCTCTGTCAGCAGCATGTGCTGGATTCTTGACTCACTGTTATCCAAAGGGCTGTGCCAAGACACGTGATCCCCACTGCAGAAGGTGTTCTCTGTGGGAGAGACAAGAGAATCCTCAGTGTTTGAGGCCCTGCACCCAGGCCCAGAACTCAACCTGGGATCTGAGAAACCCAGGCAGGAAGCCCCCCCAACCCCCACCCCCCAAGTTTTCCAAGGGAGTCTATGAAGGAGGGGAAGCATTCGTGCAGATGAGAGCAGGGTTTGAATAATTCCCCCAAGCCAAATGCACTGCTTCTGGCCAGTTCTGCCAGCCTTCTCCAGAAAAAGACAGGCTGCTAGTGTGCATGCTCACTTGGCCTGGCAAGTCCAAAGCCAGAATTCTGGCGTCAGCTCCACTTCCCCAGCACCTTCACTTCTGGGGTGGGGGTGGGGGGCACTCATGATTGGACCCACCAAGAAAGAATAAAGTGCTTTATTGTGGGGCCACCTGAATAGGAGACTGGAGGGCAGTGAAAGCCTTTTACCTTGGACAAACAGACCAGGGTTTAATGTACTGCTGAGACTGCTCAGAAGAGAACACCTCACCTTGCAGGGCCTTTGAGAACTGTCAGCAGTTTCCCCCAGGAAGACAGATTTAGGGGACAGTTCCTCAGGGAGGAACACTGGAGACTAAACAGAAGTCTCAATTGTGCCTCACACACTACGGCAGAGACATACAGACCTGGGGGCGGGAGGCTGTTTCCATGAGGACACAGATATTGTGCCCAGGCTGCCCAACAGAAATATGTGCAAACACAGCCACCTCATAGCCTCACCACTGACCTTCACACAGATCCATCACTCAAAAAAGTTTAAGGCTGCATAGCCACAAGGGAAAAACCACTTATGTGGTATGAAGTCTTCCACTACCCCTGACTTTCATCTCGGGTGATCTTCCAAAGGAACTCGGCATTTACCACCTATATGTATCCATAGGTTCTCTCTATCTTGTTTCTTCAAATACATATACAACACATCATCTTGTACGTTTCATATATCTTGGAGTCATTTCACATCAGCACAGAGAAAGCTATTTCATTCTTTAAATGGCTGTATGGCAGTTCACCATGGCCTATCACATATAACCTAGGGAGTCTCAACAGCTGAGGTCCCTTCACTTTTTATCAATATTTGAAGCAAAGCAGAAAATACACACACACACACACACACACACACACACACACACACACACACACCAGTCTGAAGGCCTGAGAGCACATCTGCTCTCATTTGTCTTGGTCTAAATACTCCCTCCTGTGTCAGGTGAAGTTATACACTACTTTTTCTAGGGACAGGCTAGGGTTATTGGTCTTAACCTCAAAAGCATTCAGGGAGAGAAGAAAGACTTCTTCCTCTAAGAGACATGAAATAATAAAGGGGAGAGAGAGCCTGGCTCCAGAGAGCCAATTATAACCCCCCAAATTTCTAAACTCTTTCTGAACTCACTCTTCCCAGGTTTCCTCTCCTTTACAGAAGTGCATGTCTATAAGTATCTTCAAGTTAGAAACAATGTCAAAAGTAGAAAGAATGAATTATAATAGTAATTAAAAGCTTCATCCACCATTAAAGGGTCCAGGTCCAGATGGCTTCACTGGTAAATTCTACCAAATATTCAGAGAAGAATTAATAGTAATTCTTCACAAACTATTTTTTATAAAAGTACCACTTCACAATTATTTCTATGAGGCCAATATTACCCTGATACCAAAATCAGACAAAGGCACCATAAGAAAAGAAAGCCATAAATCAATATCTCTGATGCATAGACACAAAGTTCTCAACAAAATACAGGCAAACTGAACACAGCAACATATGAAAGGGTTATACACAATGACCAAGTGAGATTTAACCCAAAAATGCAAGGTTGATGTAAAAGTAACTTAAAAAATAAATGTAATATTGATATAGTATGTCAATAGACTAAAGGTTTAAAAAAACACATAATCATCTCAGTAAACACAGAAAAGGCATTCAGCAAAACTCAATACTCTTTCATGATAAAACACTCAAACTACAAATAGATGGGAACTTCCTCAATCTGTTAAAGGGCATCTACAAAAAAACTACAGCTAATATCATACTTGTTGGTGAAAGACTGAATTATTTCCCTCTAAGATCAGGAACAAGACAAAGATTCCCACTCTTACCACTTCTATTCAACACTGTATATCATGAACCTTAGAAACATTACACTAACCGAAAGAAGCCAGTCCCAAAAGGCCATATATGATGCCATTTACATGGAATCTCCAGAACAGGCACATCTATGTAGACAGATAGATTACTGGTTGCTAGGGAGGAATGGAGAGTGACTGGTATGAGTCTGCTTTTGGGGGTAATGAAAATGTTCTAGGGTTCATTGTGGTGATGGTTTCACAACAATGAATAACATGGTATGTGAATTATATCTTAATAAAGATATTAAGAAGAAAGAAAGGCCCTGGCTGGGTTGGCTCAATGGATAGAGCATTAGCCTGCGGACTGAAGGGTCCCAGATTCTATTCTGGCCAAGAGCACATGCCTGGGTTGTGGGCTCCATCCCCAGTGGGGGGAAGGATGCAGGAGGCAGCTGATCAATGATTCTCTCTCATCATTGATGTTTCTATCTCTCTCTTCCTCTCCCTTTCTCTCTAAAATCAATAAAATATTAAAAGAAGAAGAAGAAGAAGAAGAAGAAGAAGAAGAAGAAGAAGAAGAAGAAGAAGAAGAAGAAGAAAGCAAGCAAGAAAGCAAGCAAGCAGGCAGGCAGGCAGGCAAAAGGAAGGAACCTGGGGAAGAGGCAAAATGTGTGAAGCCAGGCCAACGCCCTGGATTCCTTTTCACCACCTCCTCCAGGTAAACACCCAGCATGGGAGAGGCCTCACTCATAATGCCCAGACACCACACTTATTATAAGTCTAGGTGAAACTACCTAGTCCAATATTTCATTTTCTACAAGTGAAGAAAGGATCCTCAAGACTGCCCAAGGTCATAGGGCAAGTCAGTGACGACAGAGCACAGGGAAATATTTCCCAAACTTCCGAATTATCCGTAACACTGGCAGGATTTCTTACATCTATCTGTGTATCACCTGTACTATCACCTGTATCTATCTGTGTATCACCTACCTGTGTCTCCCCCTTCCCCGCTAAAATTGACTCACTTTAAAAACTTAAGCAAACTTCCTTTAAATAGAAACCTTCCATCACAACACTACACAGGGAAAATCAGTGTTGCTCACTGTAAAGTAGATGACTTCAAAATGATTGAATGAAGACAAAATATTTTAAATCTCTAACAGATACAGTTGCTTACCTAACCTTGTTAAAACTGAAATGATCAAGGGTTAGAGCTGTTAAGAATTAAAAAGTGAGTCATATCAAACTGACAAAAACAGCAGGACTGAGTCAGAGCTCTGAAGAGGAAAGAGAGTCCTCACTACTCTTGTTACTGGAAACCTTGTCCAGTTTCCACCTAAATCTCCTGCTGGCTTTGGCAAATTATGGCATCGTAGTTAATTTTGCAGTTGGGAAAGCCCTGTAGGAACTTGCCTCTGCCCCTTACTAGTTGTGACCCTGAGCAACTTCTAAGCCTGTTTTCCCTTCTGTAAGTAGGAAAAGAGCACCCACTTAGAGTGCTCTCCACTGCTGCATGTTATGACTCCACGCCTGCCCTGGAATACAGTACAGCTACTCCACCCAGGTCCTACTTCCTTTACCAGGAAGCAGGACCAGCCACAGAGCCTGTAGCTAACAGCAGTTGCCACTAGGTGGCACCAGCACTCCTGATTTTAAAAAGCTGGGGCCAGTTCCCTCCAATGCTTCAGGTCTAGAGACTTTTGGTCTGTAGAAATATACCCCAAACCTGAAAGGTACTTAGACTGGCAATAGGGAAAGGACTGGAAAGGTTTGAAGCCATGATCTTTTATGAACTAGAATCGACATTTATTTAAAAATAAATGTTGTCTAAACCTAAACTGTTTAAATGAAGAATGACTAAAAGGTATACTTAAGCAGAAAACGGTTTGGCTCAATGGATAGAGCGTCGGCCTGTGGACTCAAAGGTCCCCGGTTCGATTCTGGTCAAGAGCATGTACCTTGGTTATGGCACATCCCCAGTGGGGGGGGGGGGTGCAGGAGTCAGCTGATGGATGTTTCTAACCCTTTATCCCTCTCCCTTCCTCTCTGTAAAAAATCAATAAAATACATTTTTTAAATTAAAAAAACAAAAGGTACACTTAATTTGGGAAGGAGTGCAAGTTAGGCAGCTGGGAGAGGAGACTGTAAAGCAGGAAAGGGAAACAGACCCAGTTGCTGCTCTAGGACCAACACACCTCCCTGGTGTGTGTGATAAGCTCTGGCAATGTACTAGCGAGTTAAGGAGGGCAGGTGAGGAGAAAGCATAACCACACACAGAAAGGTTTAAAGAGCAGGAGGGGAACAGCCTTGTAGCCGGGGACAGTGTTTTCTTCCCTACCCCTGCCTGATGGGAGAACTAGATGTATTAGCTCTGCTGTGGCCAAGAAACAGCCTTTCTTAACAATCAAAGAGCCTTGGTCACAGTTTTCAAGCTTGGGACAAAGCCACAAAGGGCTCATTCTTGAGTCTGCTCTGGTCTTTATTTCTGGATGCTCAGCCCCATTCTGTGTGGAGCCACGGTGGGTCTCAGAGCTCAGGCCCCAGCGCTCACCCCAGGAAGCTCTCAGCCCCCTTCAGAGGGTTTTCAAATGCTAATTCGGCCTCAGTCAGAGGCCCAGCTGTTCCGCCCAGTGGTTAGAGAGCGCCTCCCTCTCCCTCTCAGACTGCCTGAAGTACCCTAACCAAGAAATTAAGATGCAAATCTCTCGGACCCCTACCCAAACCATGCAGCAGAGGGACTCTCTGGGATCCGAAGGCAGGTCTTTCCCCTCTTGCTCTGAGCTCCGGCTCCAAGTACCATGAGAAACCTCCCTCAGCTGCTGCCTGTTTGGCAAATTCACCGGAGGGGAAATACCACCTCAGGGTGGCAAAAAGGGTCCAGAAGCTTCCAGGTACAGCTCTGCCCTTGCTTTGTTGACAGAAAGGTTTTGTTACTC